CCCTAAACCCTAAACCCTACACGGCTTGAGAAGCCCTGCGGTGCTCTTGGGGAGGGCTTCTGTGGGGTTAGCTTCGGCGGAATATCGCTCTCATTCGGTGTCTCCGAAGTCTTTCCCTGAACCCTAAACCCTAAACCCGCCTAACAGGACTTGCCCCAACTTTTCCCTGGAAATCCTGCAAAAACGCTGCGACATCAGGTAGCACCTCGGGCCCCTGCACTTGGTAGCATTTTAGATCATTTAGGGGTTTAGGGTTTAGGGATTTAGGGATTTAGGGTTTAGGGGTCTCTTTGAGGTTGTTTCCTCCGAGTCCTTGACGGTGAATCGAAATCTGAGGGAATGCCAGGAAGCCCAATCCCCATGCATCCTTGCCCGATCCCGGTCGGACCTCTATGGATTTTCTTCTTTGGGTCCCTTCCGTTTCTCTCGCTCTGACTGTCTCTCCCGGTTTCTGTCCTTCTCACTTTGTCTTTCTTCAATCCCTTTCTCTTCCTCTCTTTGTCCCTCCCTGTTAGGAATTGAGGCTGCGCGCTTCCAAACGGATGCTCATATCATTCGGCAGCAAAACCCACCAGAATAAGGACTTGCAAATAACAAGGGTCCGAAGCTGTCCCGTCCATACAATTCAGAATCGTCTTGTACTTGTATAGTTTTCAAAGCTTTTGTTGCTTTAAGTGGCTGGTCTGGCCAGGACATCGAGTTGTCGCGGGTCGTCTCCCCATTCGGTGAGCTAGTGATTGAACGGCCGGGCTCCCATGGGAGCTTCTCGCTTGGCGTTTTTTGAAGCTTCGGGAATTTGGTAAGGCTCCTCGCTTGATGTCAATAATAACAGTTATAAGAAGAAGGGTTCAGAGCTTGGTTTCGGGTTAGGCCCAAGGCATCTTCCCTGAGGTAGGATACCGCTATTCGGCAGCCCTCACCCGCATTAGCTGCGTTGTCATTATGGTGGAAACCATTCATCATCATCTTCTTCTTCTCTTTCATCATCATCTGCAGCATCTTCAGCACCAGCATCATCAGCAACAGCTTCAGCAACAGCATCGACAGCATCATCACAATCATCAGCAGCATCATCAGCAACAGCTTCAGCAACGGCATCAGCAACGGCATCATCAACAGCATAAGCATCATCATCATCATCATCATCATCATCATCATCATCATCATCATCATCAGCATCATCATCGTCATCAGCATCTTCATCATCATCATCATCATCAGCATCATCATCATCATCAGCAGCAGCATCTTCGTCGTCGTCATCATCATCATCATCCTCATCCTCATCACCACCATCACCGTACAATGCATAGTGGGCATTAAGATGCATGACGATGGTCATGCTGAAAGTTAGATGATCATGAACACTACTGCCACGAACGATAAAGAGCAGCAACAAAGACGACATCGACGACGACTGCTTCCGTCTCCCCTCCCCCGCCCTCACGCCCATGATGATGTCGGACCACCGGCAGTGATCGTCGTGATGGTAGTGATGTCTCTGTGACTCCCTCCCGATAGACTTCGTAAAGGCTCTCTGGCCGGCGAGAGGCGCCCGACCCGTGGGGCTGGGTGGGTTTAGGGTTTGGGGTTTAGGGTTTCGGGTTTAGGGTTTAGGGGTTTAGGGTTTAGGGTTTAGAGGTTTAGGGTTTAGGGTTTAGGGTTTAGGATGGGTGAGTTGCTTCGGCTGAAGTTGGTCCCGTGGTTGCTCACACCCTACCACCCCAAAAAAGAGATGTGTAAACTAATCTTAAAATGCAACCCTTGAAAGACACCCGAAAAGGGAGCTCGCAAAAGAACCCTTAAAAAGGATCCATGAAAAAAGCATTTCCTTTTTCGGTCCTCCAAACCCAAATCGCAACCCAAAGTCCTACGAGTACTAATGACCCGACACACGATCCCAGCGGGCCCAAAGAAGCCCTAAGCACTGGCATCGGGCTTTGGGTTTAGGGTTAAGGTGGTTGGGGTTAGAAGGATTTAGGGCTTGAGGGTTTTGGGGTTCAGGATTTAGGGTTTGGGGATTTAGGGTTTAGGGTCAGACAACAAAACTGATCCCTGAGAATTGGAGTTCACGTCGAAGTCTTCAGGTTCGCTGAGGGTTTTCTTTAAAAGGGAAAATAGGTATAAATTTGTGTTCCAACGTCTGTATTTGCTCCAATATCCACTAGCAGAATCCAGACCTTTCGTCCAATAAAGCTCAGAGTTTCGTCGCTCTTTCAAAGGCTCAGGAACTATGAAGATGCGAGTTGCAATCGAGCATCTACTGTTCATTGCATCGCTTCTTGAACTTCTCGGTTCTTTTGGATGGTGCAATCGTTCCCTTGTGGGCTGGTAGTTCTGGGATCCACCTTCGGTTGCTTGGGATCGCTTCCGAGGGTTCATGGATTCAGGTCACCATTTGAGGATCCTTTCCAGTATCGTCTTGCTTAGATTGTCCCCACGACCGCAATAGCACCAGTGTGAATCGAACTGATCTTTGCCGTTGTGGCTTACGCTGCTGTTGCTGGTACTACTACTACTGCTGCTACTGCTACGACTACGACGACGACTACTACGACTAGCAATACCCTACCACTCCACTACCACTCCACTACCACGACCACCCGCCACCATTACTGCAATCAGCCTGTGTTTTTTTGTCGTATCTGTCGACAGTCTCAGTTTTTAAAGCTTCGTCTTGAGAACTGTTTTCGTTTGCTGTCGCAAGGATCACCACGACTGCCCCTGCCGAAACCCCAAGCCCTTAAGCCACCAGGGTTCGTAGGTTGGCCCTCTCAAGTCGGGCCACAGGCTTTACGGCGTTTGCAGCTTTACCTGACGAAGCTTGAAGCCAAAATGCCCGCCTTGCAGCTCACGATTATAGTATATTGCTGTTCTGCTATGGTGGTTTGTTGGCTATCCTGTAATCCGCTAATTGAAAGTCTCTATTACAAAGCATCGATACAGTTTTTAGCCCAAGCGTCCCAGGTTTGCTCCCTGCCTGGAAGATCGGAAGCTTCTCCACGTGGCACATATCGGCAGGTCTATCACCCGTCTGGGACCCGTGCCTGGCGAAATCCAACTGTCGAGGCTGCCAACCGGAGTTGAGCGTTGCCGGGCTGGGGGGGGGGGGGGGGATTTGTTGTCGCTTGGCCCTTTCCTCACTCAACCAGAAGCAAGCCCCCGAGACAAGGTCTAATCCCGAAACCCCTCCTCCACCGTGTCATTCGTGACCTCCAACCTCCAGCAGCATCATCGCCGTCATCATCAGCATCATAACCTTTACTGTCGCCACCACCACCAGCAGAACAATCATCACTATCATCACTATCTTCATCATCATTATCGTCATCATGGCTCCCATCATACCACCACTGCCACTGCAACCACCGCACCGCCACCACTGCCACCACCGCCACCACCAGCAGCACCAGCAGCACCTGCACCAGTGCCACCAGCACCAGCACCACCAGCACGATAGCCACCACAACCACCACAACAGCCACAACCACCACAACCAACACAACCACCACAACCACCACAACCAGCACAACCAACACAACCACCACAACCACCACAACCACCACAAGCACCACAACCACCACAACCACCACAACAACCACCACCACCGCGTCCACCACCACCACCACCACCAGCACCACCACCACCACCACCACCGCAGCAGTAGTACTAGGATTGTGGGTCGGAGGGGTATGGTGGTGGTTGTGATCACAGGTGTGGGAGTGACGTACTCGAGATTCCGGTAGAAGCAGCAGACTTTGAGCTTGCTCACTCCAGTGCTTACTCCTTGTTCTGCTGACAGGAGCTGCAAGAGCGGCGTGATCGCTACAAGGCCCGAGCCAGAGCACGGGGCTGCGATGTGCGGGCCTCTGACTCGGGAGGCGTATTGTCCTTAGCACATTCATACAGTCTTTCATTGTAGCTTAGCTGTTGCGAATACGACTATCATTGTTTTAACACTTATCAGTTCGAGCAGTGCAGGGTTGGAGGATGGCGCGAAGCTTCATGATCAGGGGGGCATGGTTTGAGCCGTACCACGATGATCACGAGGTTTGCCAGTTTCCGGCGGTGGGGCTTAGGTGATGTTTTCTCCCCTTTCGCCAAACTCGTAACGAATTCCATGGTTTCGGTCCGGCACTAGCTCAGGCATACCCTAAACCCTAAGCCTAAGCCCTAAAGGCCCTAGACCCTAAACCGTCCTAAACCGCTCTTTAGCAAAAGCTCGCCATGACCTCTAATCTAGAGTCAGTCAGAAAACCGCTACCATCGAAAGCAAATAACATAGGGGCCCCGATAATTACCAGTACTATTTTGGGGTGTTCCTTATGAAAATTAAAGTAGAATACTCCCCGAAGGCCGATAATTAAGCGAAACCACAAGGTCATAAGACGAAGCTATGTAATCCAGATGAGGTTTAGAAGACTTTTCACTTTGGGAGCTTTAGGAACCCTTTGAACCCATCCCTAAACCCTAAAGCCTAAACCTTCATATCCCACCCTGAAGTCTAAAAATCCTACACCCCAAAACATCCTACGAGCCTTCAACATCCATAAACGGACACGCCCTAAAGATCCTAAGACCGGAGACCCCAACCCCCCGAGTTATAAGTACCAGCTTCCTGATAGGGTGTAGGGTTTAGGGTCGAGGGTTTAGGGTTTAGGGCATAA